CCCCCCCCCCCGATATATTTCACAGCATGCCAGGAGGAGGATCCTTGGGCCTTTCCCCTTTCTTTTTTTCATGCATCTCCTCACAGCCTCCTTGTATTGGCTTGGCTGGGAAAAGGTGTGAGTGTAGCAATGGAGTGCCACCCTAAATCATAAAGAGAGAAGCCCTTACCTCTGGGCTGGAGTAATGTGAGGGCTTGCTGCCGTCACTCTCGCTGGAGCTGCTTTCACTCTCTGAGTCAGACTCTGAGCTGGTCTCGGATTCACTGGAGCTACTGCTGCTCGACCCCTTGCTGGAGAGCCCCGAGGCGCGGGCATTGGACTGCGGCACCACCAGGCTGCCAGCCCCACACACAGCCCATCGGGGTGCAGGGATGGGAGGGAAGAGAAGAAAACAGAACATAAACATAAAAACCCCACATGTAAGAACCATGATGTTTCAGGGAGCACACTCTCTGAATGCCTGTGAGCTTGTCTCTGCTGCAAATGAATAGTGAAACGAATTCAACATTATATGGCTATAACTGGGGGGAAGATATGGGGTTACTCTCATATCCATTTAAAGCCTTTGCCATCTTTTTCATCAGGGGGAGAATCAAGTTTTCACTTCACCTTGTCTCTTTTCCCATTCCACAGACATTTTAGGATATATTAAAAATACTAAGTGTTAAAAAGCAATATAGAAAGCAGTTTTATGCTGTCTAATGAACACTCAGCCCAGAGGCGAAAGCAGGAGACCAAAAAAGAGAACAATTAAGAAACAGAGTTGAACCCCACACTACCAGTCTTAAGTAGTAATAGCAATAAACACAAAAATAACAACAATAATACATCTTCACTGGAGCTTCCAACCACCATCTTCCATTTTGTACACTTCTTCACCTACCCATAAATGATGTGGCTACATGTTTATACCATCTTGATATTGACAATTCAAGATCTAAGACTCAGTCTTGCAAAAACTTGAAGAGCTCAGGCTTGTGTTTTTGCATGTCAGCAGTGCAGTGCTGTCAGCAGAGCTACTTGCCTTCTTTAAAGTTATGTTTACATGCTAGTGTGTGTATTATCAGGCTTGACAGCAGAAGAAATGTGTATTCTCCTGAAATAGTTGACCATGCATATTAAAAATATCAGAGTCATAAAGACCTGAGTGTGAAATATCATATTAAGTCATCCAGCTTATTCCCTAGGCAATGCAATATTGTTCCCTATAGCAGGGTGCATTTTCTAGTGAGTTGTCCAATTTGATTTTAAATGATTTGAATGCAGCTTTTACTTTTACCCCTGGGAAACTTCTCTGCAAACTAACCTAAATTCCACTGTCAGAAATTTCTCCCTACATTCAACCTGAAGTTGCCCTTTCAAAATTTATAGTTGTTACTTATTATTTCATCGTATTACTAATAGTTACTATGATAAATTATCCTCCTCCCTTTTTGCTCTCACATTTTTGCAGATTGTTTTCCTGTCCTTCTTCAGTCATCTTTCAGACAAGGCCTTACACATTTACTTCTTCTGATCTTTCCTCATAAGTCATTATCTCCAGGGATATGGGATCATTTTTATGGCTCTTTTCTGAACTCATTCCAATTTGTCTATATCTCTCTGATAACAGGGTGCCCAAAACAGAGTGCAGCATTATAGATGGCTTCTCACTACAGCCCTGCAGTGAAGGGCTATTACCTTCCTGCTCCTTGATGCGTTGCTTCTGTAAACATATATCCGAGCTGTGAAGGAATGTATAGTCCATTAACATCCCTGCCTCTCTTTCAACGCTGCTTTCTTCACAATTCCTCTACTGATAGCTACATGATTATTTGCTTCCAGAGAGATTAGCTCGCTTTTTTTCTTCATACCAGATCTCATTTTCCTTTTTTACCTTGCAAGTTTCTAGCTCCTTTTTGATTTATTTTGCTGCCCTCAGAGGTGTCTGCAGTAACTTCTAATTTAGTATCAAATGCCAACTTAATTAAATGGTTATTCACTTCCTTTTCCAGATCATTAATGAGACTGTTAAATAAACCCCTCATGAAACACACTGGTACTCTGATAACCATCTTTTCCCAACTCCATTCACCGGTGTTTATCATTACTCTTGTTTATGCTTCATCAGTCCAATATTGTGGCTTATGCAATGTGATCTTGGAGATGCATTTTGTGACAAATAATATCTAATAATTAATTACAGTTCTGCTATGTTGCACCTAATGAATTGTCTTTACATACTAATGGTGCTTTTCATTATGGAAAACTGATACTTGACACCTTGCACAAGGCACATACGACAGGCAATTCCTGAGACTTAGAAAAGGGTCCAGGCCATCAGAGATGTGGTTTCAGCTCCACAATTCCCCATGGCTGCACACTTTCTGGCCCTCTCCCTGCCTCCCCTAACATATGCCAGCCCTTCCCCTCTGGACCACCTATCTTGCAAAAGCCAGTACTCCCACCACATTGCCTTTACTTGCAGCATCCCCACTGCCTTTTCCTAGGAAGTGGCACAGCTGCCCGTGGCTTTCTTGCTCCAGAGACTTTTTGGTTGCTTGGGGGATCATGACACTGTTGGAGAGCTTTCTGTGCACACCAGGGCCAGGCAGTGGAAAAAATCTCACCTGTGATCTCCATCTTACTCATTAAAAGCAGGTAAAATAAACAGGAGAGGGAGGAGCTGACATCCATTTATATTTTTGATTTTTATTTCCATCCTTGTAACTAATGGGCGGTAGAGAGAGAGGTGGCAGTAGAAGCTCATGCTCTGTCATGGTGGCTTGGTGCTACACATGTGGTCACAGAAGTGTCTGCCAACTCCTGGGTGGCAAGAGGTCTGTCTTCATGCACAGGCATTAAATGTACCAGTTTCAAGGAGTGCCTTTAAAAACTTGGTTTTTTTGTCTAGCCATGTAGGTGTGGTAAAGACAAGATTTCCAGGCATTTATATAACTTCATTAAGGCACAGAGGTGACAAAAAAACGCTGCTAAGCCTGTAAAAAATTTTCCTTTTTGGAGAAGGAAAATTGGTATTTTGTAAACAGTTTCAGGACAATGCAGCTTTCCACTCATACAAGTGGCCCAGTGAACTCTAGATTTAAGTTGCTCACTTGTATTAACAGAGTGCAGTTAATCTCTTGCTAATAAAATAGTGAGAGCTGTATATAAGCCATTATGAATAGGTTGTGTGGTTTTGATTCTTTTTCCTTAAGAGAATCTGGAAAGAACATGAAAAGTTAACAACCTTTTCTGACAGTGTAGCTTAGGGAATGCCTTTGACGGTGTCTGACTCTGATGGATTTCCAGTCCTCTCCACAACAGCATTGCGGCTGAAAAGTTCTTGAGCATCACAAAACATCTGCACATTTATGTCCCGCCCTTAGTGACTGTGGCTTTAATTTTTAAACCATCATTTTTATTTGTCATTGACTGAAGTATTCAGAAATTTTTATATAGGGGATGAGGGGGACAAAACCATGGTAATATTTCTTTCATGTTGTGACATGAAATGTTTTTCTAGGCTGCTGAATAGGAATTGTTACTACAGCCCTGGATATAAAATATAACTGTTGGACTCTTCACAAACATCTGGAAATCTATGTTTGCTGTTCTAATGGTAGCCAATATACTACAAAAATTAAGCATTGCAATATTTTTCCATTTATGCTGATACTGCTGAAGTCTCCTATCCCCTTCTACATTTTTCAGTTTTGAAATATAGCATATTCTTATAAGGATCCTCATTATGTTATAGTGACCAGGGTAATAACAGTTACATCTGTCTGCATGCATTATTATTAAAAAAAAAAAAACAAAAAACAACCCTTTCTAAAAAATTGGTAACTTTTATTTTGGACTGTTCTTTCTGAAGGATGTAAGCAAGATCATTGAGTTAGACTGATTTACATTTTAATGGCAGTGGCACATAACATTTGCGCATATTTTGCTACTGGTTTATGCCCTGGAATTAATTACCACATCATAGAATTTATTTTTTTTTTTATTTTAAGGAATTAAACAACAATTGGGTTGAACCACTAAATACCTTGTAAATTTGCCAGAAGTTAGTAATAAGACCATTTAAAAACCAACACACCATCTGAAGTTTCTGATCAGATATCTCCCATCACCCTGGCTACAGGGGGCCTGGGCACCTAATTGCCATGCAAATCTCCAACAACCTGTTTTCCTGTGCTGTCTAGTGGACAACTGACCCTTCTTAGAAGAACTAGAGCGAGATTCCTCATAGCCTAAATTTTTCTCCTATGTGCAGGTTCAGGAACCCGATGACTTGGGGAGATTAATACTTCTTCCCCACTCAAATTAACTTGTGATCCAAGTTGAGAGGTGGAGACATCTCAATCCCTGGCCAAGGTCTAGAGGTTATTTGGTGGGACTAGTTGTTAGCCCCATAATGCTGCATGGCCATGGGCAGCCTTTGAATGGCACTAAGGAGGTTTGAATAGTTATGCAGGAAGGTGCTAGAGTTGGCTATTCAGTCAGTGGAGACAGATTCCCAAATGAGATTGCTTTGCTGGCCCTCAGGAGACATCTTCAGGTTAATCATGCTGGATCTGAGTTCTGCTCTATGCTTCATATTAAGCTGCTGCTTACAGCTGCACTACTTCCCATGATAATAAATCATGGCATTCAGCACTGGCCACAAGAATTTCCCAGGCTAGGCATATGTTGCATTTCAGGAATTCAGGCCCAAAGACATGCAGCATGGATAATGATACAAGTAAAACTGCTGCAATTCTTTATCAAAATGCAAGTTTTCAGTGACAATATAAAGAAAAAAATCCCTCTGATGCTGAAGAATTTGTAATCCCAGCTCTTCACTGCGCTACAATATGAAAGCACTTTATACCTACTTTACACAGGCATAAATGATTACCAAGAATGCAATGCAAGGGAGAATCAGACCTTGGAGAAATGACTCAGCCAAAGGAACATATCAGAGTGAGCCTCTCAAATACTTTTCCAGCCACAACAAAGGCTACCCAAATGCTCACAGAATCATTAAGGTTGGGAAAGACCTCCAAGATCATCAAATCCAGCCTTTGACCAGATACCACCAGGCCCACTAAATTATCACAAAGCACCGTGTCTACTTGTTTTTTGAACACTTAAGTATGGTGACTCCACCACTTCCCCTTACCACTCTTCCAGTGAAGAATTTTTCCTGATATCCTACCTGATCATCTCTTGGAACAACTTGAGGCCATTTCCTCTTGTCCTATCACTGGCTGCTTGGAAGACAAGCCTGACACCCACCTCACCACAACCTCCTTTAAACTAGTTGTCCAGAGCAATAACGTCTACTCCAAGCCTTTTTCAGTGTAAGCAA